TGTTTTGATTTATACAAATTCTTATTAGTCATAAATATAATATAATATTTATAATATAGTTTAAGCATTAATTCATGACAAATTATTTTTATTTGTTATAATAATTTTTACAGTGTTAAAACCAAAATATAAGTAATTATTTTAAAAGATTTTTGACTTGTATATAATTTTATATAATATCTATCTTCTTCTATACAGTAGAACCTCTCTAATCCGTCACCTTCGGGACTGGGGGTGTGGTCGGAACGCAAAAGGGTCGGATTATCAGAATATACAGAACATTTTTATTTATATATTACATACAAGATTATATTAGAAATGTATTATATTTTGYAATACTTAGAAAAAAAGCCAGTTATAGATTTTTGTTTAGCAAATGACATTCTAGACTTAGCTAAGCTAAGGAAATATTAAACTAGCAATTAATTGTATGTATCTTCTATAAATTGTTAAATCCAAATTGTACTTTTTAAATTACATACATAGTATTCATATCAATAATACTAGGATCGGATCAACCCGAGCGGCGGACTAGCCAGGGCGTACGAGAGGGGTTCTACTGTATATATAAAAATGGATTCTGGTCTGTTGGTTATTTATACAATCCTAAATAGCTGTACTGATTGTGACAAAATTTGGTACAGAGATTTAGTAGACCTATGAGCAAAAGATAGGCTAGGTTAAAAAAATAAAAAGTGATAGGCCCCACCCCTGAAGGTGCTCAGATATTTTGAGATTTGAAGTTGCTATTAGTTTCAATAATAATAATTAAAAATAATTAGTGTGAAAGAAATCATTATTATTAGGTATTTTTTGTTTCTATGGCATTAAAAGTTTTATTGATATTTTGTGTTGTTTTTTTTGTTATAATAACGCCATTTCTATGCAGTTATGTTCCTCCCTAAAAAAGATCGAACTGTAGTTCTACGCACCAGAAGGGAGAACAAAAAATATTGTGTATCCAARTACACTTCAGTAAATATCATTCAATTGAATACTTTGTCGCACTTTTCTCTATTAAACGAATACAATTATAAGATGATAAACTA